GGGGGGGGGGGGGGACTTTAAAATGTATACAGTGTGCAAATTCATATATCAACAGGAACAAATATAGGATTGATCACGACTGAAAATTGAAGCTCTGCGAGAAGGTGAAATATATTCATAATACGAAAATAAAAGGTTGAGAACAACCTCAATAAGCCAAAAAATAAAAAATAATTATGAAAAAGCAGAGAGTGAAATCTTTTAATTTGGTACGTAGAGTATGTGATGCTAAATAGATACAAAACACATAAGATCAAGTGAAGACGATACTCAATATAGATGGAGGGAGATAAAGAAGACGATCTGGAGGCGATTTTTTTTTATTTGTTGCTAAAAATCTTTTTATCTTCTTTTTATTTTTTGGGCTCAAAATGTAGTGTATTTTTTTATTTATGAAGAATTCCAAATAGCCATCACTTATTAAACTAAAATTAGCCGGTGAAGGTATAAATATATGAATAATTTATGTATTAAATATGCATAATTAATGTATAATCTATGTATATGGCTAAAAAGGTAAACAATTAATATGACCGGCTATTTGTGTAAATATTTCTTTTTATTCGTCCATTTTTCAAGGTAAAAATTGCACGGGGCGCCCTATTTGGTCGCCCCATTTAACCTATACCCATTTTTTTTAAAAACTTTTAATATGTACCCATTTTTTAAACAACTTCAACTCCCTTTCTCCTCCTTCTCCTCCTCAAAGTTATATCCCAACGCAAGACCAAATACGTGCTATTTACCATGAATTAACCAGTAACATCGTTTCAAGCAAAAAGAAAAAATATATTATAATTTGTTTCTATTTGCCGAAGGCATTGACGAACAAAGTTATCTGATTGGCCAATTTTTGTACTGCTAAAGGTCATCCTAAACTGGCCCTAAATCCCCTTCGTTAAAGAAGTTTATTAGCTTCTGCTGAACTGTGCAAAGGATATGAATTGCCTGTGCAGAGAAATATGATTATAGCTTACTACATAGTACATTGGCTGCAACATCATTTAGCACTCTATGTGGTGAAATGCTGAACAATTAGGTTTAAGTTAACCGAAAGAGCAAAAAGTAATAATCTTTCAATCATTCTTGCATTCTCACATGTCAAGTCTGGATATAAATGACGCGGACTTAAGGAGATGGAAGCTTACAAACAAAAACTTCAGCTCTAGAGCCGAAGTTCAATAGTTAAAAAACAAAAACTTCAGCTCTAGAGCTGAAGCTTACAAACAAAAACATCAGCTCTAGAGCTGAAGTTCGATAGTTAAAAAACAAAAACTTCTGAAGCTTACAAACAAAAACTTCAGCTCTAGAGCTGAAGTTCGATAGTTAAAAAATAAAAACTTCAACTCTAGAGCTGAAACTTACAAACAATTAAAAAACAAAAACTTCAGCTCTAGAGCTGAAGTTCGATAGTTAAAAAATAAAAACTTCAACTCTAGAGCTGAAACTTACAAACAATTAAAAAACAAAAACTTCAGCTCTAGAGCTGAGGCTTACAAACAAAAACATCAGCTCTAGAGCTGAAGTTCGATAGTTAAAAAACAAAAACTTCACTTACAAACAAAAACTTCAGCTCTAGAGCTGAAGCTTACAAATAAAAACTTCGCCAGTTACAAACAAAAACTTCAGCTCTAGAGCTGAAGTTCGATAGTTACAAAACAAAAACTTCAGCTCTAGAGCTGAACTTCAGGCCCGGCTACTAGAATGATGAAGTTTTGCGCGATTGCTTTTGCTACTTCAGTCCCGTATGCTGAAATTATGCGAAAAAGCGGGTACGCTTGCAATTTTTTTTGCAAAGCGGGCAAATGTTAAAACGTGATACAAAAAACGGATATAGATGCAAATGCCCCTTTTCCAAGTTAGCTGCGAGTTGGCTCCACTAATTTTTTTTTTTGTTTGAACTATTGTTAGTGAAGGGTGTAATAAGCATATATTTGTTAACTTCAAGTGCTCAATAGTTATCAGTCACAAATTGAGATGTTTATATGAAAAATATGACAATTTTAGGGGGCTATATGCATTTGGCCCTTTTGTTTTTGGTGTTTCTCTACGAAGAAATATCGTGTAAATGCTTGTGTAACAACTAAATTTCGTTCCTAAAAAATAATAATCAAGACAAGAAATATAGCGACAAATATTATATTCGATTTTAAGTGATGGGGTTACAATTTCTAAAATATCTCTAAATCTAAAGAGATGTAGTCCTCTGATTCTTCTCCTCACGGACGATGGTTCAAGAGTTTGAGAGCTTGATCTTGAACTTGATGGATTAGGATTACGCTATTCTTTAGAGCTTCTTTAGCCTTTTCTTCTGCTTATTTGCTTGTGTCTTAGCTTCTTCTTTGACCCCTTTATATAGGCGTGAGGTGGAGTAGTCTCCAAAAAAACCCTAGTAGATTATTGGGTTTGAGGCTTATGGGCCGACCTATTTGAAAGAAGACCAATTGACGGGCTAGCCCAATGATACATTAGACTTTTATTTAAATAAATTCATTTTAGATTTAAATAATCGACCCAATTACACTAGCCCATAGTATTATTTGGACTAATATGTATTTAATACATGATGAAATCTGAATTACTTGTGGATTTAAATTTAATAAAACTTTTATTTGTCTACAGCTTGTTTAATCTACATTTCGCTCAAGACGATAGCGTTTCATCTAACAGAAGTGTTTCACTACGTCGTTTTAATTAAGTCGTATAATAGGCTCTCGTGTAAATGTAATATATCTACGCTTAGGACCTTAGCTAGGGTTTCTCCTATTCTTTTCTCTGCGTTGTTCCTTCGAAGGTGGCACTCTAGGGTTCATTAAAGAAGCTTCAAATCGACTCAATAAGTTGAAATTTCGTATTCTCATCTAATCAGCTTCAGATTTTTCAACCAAATTCTCAGAGCTATGTACGGATCAAGAGGGTAAGCTTACCTAATTCCCTTTTGTTCATAAATTAAATGCTTTGCTGATGGTATGAATTGGGATTTTTGTTTTGTTTAGGCGATTTCCCCCTTCCTGTATTTTGAATTGATGCACGTTTCTTAATTGTTCGACTACTGCATGAGTTTGCGACTGATCGTGTAACTTATTTTAGAAGACAAATTATTGTTATAGGATGAAATGGCTCAATTGAAGGGGAGCCTTGGCGTAACTAGTAAAGTTACCTCCATGTGACCTCCGGGTTCGAGCTGTAGAAACAACGTACAATAAACCCTTGTGGTTCGGCCCTTCCTTGGACCCCGTGCATAGCGGAAGCTTTGTGCATCGGGCTGCCCCTTTTTTATGGCTCAAATAGAGTAGAATGGATATATAAGATTCATACCAAATATGAGAGGCAGATGTAGCCCTAAAATTACGGGTTTATCTGAACCTAGTAACTTTCCCTCAGACTCTGTATGTGTTACAAAATTTATTAAAGAAGTAAAAATAATTGAACCCAGTAAATCAAATAGGTTGCGATAGAATTCAGAACTCGAACACTTTATGTTGAAATCCTGGATCCTCATCTGCAATACCATCAACTCTAACTAGTTTGGAATGAGGCTTAATTGTTTGTCTGGATTTAAGCCTTAAACACTAATTGAGGCTTCCCTATTGGGTGGAATGGGTAGCTTGAGAAATCTTTGATCTTTTCTTTCTTTTCCCTTTTCAAAGAATGGGGTGAGGTGACTCCATATTTGTGTCTCTCTATTGCTTATTCCGTGTTAGACATCTGAACTTTAGGGTGTTGTTGATAGAATAATAACAATTTGTTAAAATAAGATTTTCTTTGCTCTTCTTAACAGAAGAATCATAAAAATAAAATGTTTGACCTTTTCAGTTCTTAAAGTTATCAGACTTGTAGGGGCTGTGGAGAAGTTACAAAAATTTGCAAATTAAGGTTCTCTTTACTTTTTATCAACATAAGAACCTCATAAATGAAATCTTTGACCTTATAAGTTCACATAGTTATCACATTTTTAGGGGCTTGTACTACCAATGTAAATCTCCTGATTTCTAGAGTTTAAGTTACATAGTTAGACTCCCTCTGTCTTAGGATTTCAGGTGATTTTTTCCCCGAGATGATTTTCCCCCTTTGATGGAAAGCTGGAAGATTTTTTTAGTTCAGAATGGTCTATTGATGTTGTCAACTGGTTATGTGCATTATGTGGATGAATTTGCTTGTCGCCTGAGATTTTGATCTAGAAAATGACAGAAGATAATTCCTTTTCATGGAGAAGTTTTTTATTTTATTTAAAAGTTTATATGTTGGGCATAATCCTGAAATAATCTCTCTTATTTACTGTGTTCATTTGTAATTTGTTATTATGTTTTTTGGGATGCATGTGAAATGTTGTGATTTTCTTTTGAGAATAAGGTGGTATTGGAAACTAGGTTGTAGGAAACATATGGGTTGGGCTTGGTTTTATTAACAAGGTTGAGTGGGGGATTTTTCCTTTTTTTTGGGTATGAATAATTGAAGGGCAATGTTGGGGAGCGGGGGGGTTTCGGACGGGTACGAGATCGGCTCAAAGAGACCAAGAATGATGGAATCAAATCCCTACTTCGCAGTGAGCAGCGGTTCAAGTGGTTATCACCAGTCTTATGGCTATGGAAGCAGATTTCAGCCCTCCGGATTTCCTGTTGTTCGTTTGAGGGGTCTTCCGTTCAACTGCAGTGAAATCGACGTTTACAAGTTCTTTGCTGGCCTGGATATTGTGGATATTTTCCTGGTCAACAAGGATGGACGGTTCACTGGGGATGCTTTTGTTGTCTTTGCTGGTCACATGCAAGTTGATTATGCTCTTCAAAGGGACAGGCAGAACATGGGGAGGAGATATGTGGAAGTTTTCAGCTGCAAGAAGGAAGAGTATTACGAAGCTATAGCTGCTGATGTGAAGGAAGGAGGTTATGATTATGAATATCGTGCTTCCCCTCCTCCATCTCGTCCAAAGAGATCTATGAACAAAGATCAAATGGAGTACACTGAGATACTGAAATTGCGAGGTCTCCCATACAGTGTTAGAAGAACAGATATTGCCAGGTTTTTCGGAGAGGAATTCAATGTTTCAGCTGACAAGGTACACATTGCATATCGCCCCGATGGAAAAGCTACTGGAGAGGCTTATGTGGAATTTACCTCTGCTGAAGAGGCCAAGAAAGCTATGTGCAAGGACAATATGAAGATTGGATCTAGGTACATTGAGCTATTTCCTTCACATCCAGATGAAGCTAGACGAGCGGAGTCTAGGTCACGACAGTGATGCTAATTATTTCTGGCGGTGTGGAGTATTTTTAAGCATCATATATTTCGTTCACCTCTTTCTCTTGGGGATAGTGTTGCACTTGTTAAAGATTGTCTTCTTTTGCACCCGCTGAAGTATGTTTTCCTAGACAAACTTATATCAAACAGCTATGTAAGTTGTGCTTCTCACTCTCGGATATCTTAGTTTTGGGTTTTGCTTAATTTGCTTTGATCTCCGTCCATTAATTTTCTATTTTTGAATTTTCTTTTGGTTTTTACGAGGATGGGATGGACTAATTTTGACTATTGTTATTATGGAAAAGGGTTCAAAATGCCCTTAAACTATTGAAAAAGGTTTTAAAATGCCCTTCATCCACCTATTGGGCTAAAAATATCCCTCCATCCACTTTTTTGGTTCACTTATACCCTTTGATCGTTAGGTCAATGCTAAATTAAAAATAATTATTAAGTATTCTTCAGTTTTTACAAAAAAAATATTTTTTTCAGTTTTTTAAAAGTATTTTTTTTTGTAAAAATTAAAAAAATAAATATAAAAACAGAAAAAAAAATATTTTTAATAAAATATTTTCGTTTTTAAAAACTAAAAAAATATTTTCAACAAAATATTTTCGTTTTTTGAAAAATATTTTTTTTCATTTTTTTAAAACATTTCGTTTATTTTCGTTTCTCATTTTTTTAAAAGAAAAAATATTTTCGTTTTTTTTTAAAAACTAATAAAAATGAAAAAAAAAAATTTGTTGAGAATATTTTTTTCAGTTTTTAAAAAACAAAAATATTTTTTTTCTGTTTTTACAATTTTTTCAGTTTTTAGAAAAAAAATGCTTTAAAACTGAAAAAATGAGAACAAAATATTTTTTTTGTAAAAACTAATTAAAAGAAGAAGAAGAAGAAGAAGACGACGACTTTACTAAATTAGTGGATTACTAGTTGCATTAGTTTAAAAAAACAAAAATATTTTATGAAATATTTTTTTTTAAGTTTTACAAAAAGAATAATAGTTATTTTTAATTCAGCATTGACCTAACGGTCAAAGGGCATAAGTGAACCAAAAATGTGGATGGAGGGGTATTTTTAGTCCAATAGGTAGATGAAAGGTATTTTCAAACCTTTTCCAATAGTTTAGGGGCATTTTGAACCTTTTTCCGTTGTTATTATTGTATGGTTTTTTTGGGGGTGGTTATGTTCCAACAAAGTGCTATAATTTTTTTTTTGCCTTGGGCGACCGTCTCTGTGCACGGATCAGATTTAGCACATTTCGGATTCGGATTTTAGAAAATGCAATCCGAATCTGATTCAGCAATCCGAATCTGATCTGAATTATATTGGATCGAATTTCGGATCGTATTATTATGCCTTAAAGTTGCAAACTAATATGTATATTTTCTTTGTAAAAGAGATAATACATTAAGAAAAATTCATGTTTATGCAATTATGAGAGTACTATGGTGCTAATATAGCTAAATCTAGCAATTGTAAAGGTAATAACTTGAAGGAAGATGTAAAGAAAGTACTGACTATGCGAAATTAAAATATAGTATTTATACATTGCCTAATAATTTCGGATTTCGGATTTGATCGGATTAAAATATACCAATTCGATCCGAAATTTTAATAAACACAATCCGAAATTCGATCCAATTCGAAATTGAATGGATCGGTTCGGATTTCGGATATCCGATCCGAATGAACAGCCCTAGCAAGTGGCCCTTTTTTATTTCTTACCATATATTAGCTACAAAAAGGAACATAATGAGTTAAGCACATCGACAGTTCACTATTCAAACTTCTACAAAGAATAATATTTTTTTACAGAGAAACCACAATCTTTTCGGAAAATGTCAAGCTTCCCTTCACATTACCATTTCTTGACAACTTTGCCAAACACATGCACATGAGGTCTACTTTTTCTACTTAGTGGAATATGGTTCAAGAATGGAGTAACAAGTAGTAGAAGTAATAATTTATTCTCTTGGACATCTAGTTCAACGTATGGGGAAAAGGCATCGCTTTTGACAAATTTGTGTCCTTAGAATCTTGCTAGGCAATTGCCTTTTATCCACAACCACAAGAGTCTACAATGCTAATATTATGTGTTTTCTCTCTAGCTTTAAGAGAAAAACAACATTCTTGTTTGTCACCAATATCAAGTTTTGGTCACATATTTCAATATATTACCACAACAGAGAAAGGTTTTGGTTCGAGTTCTCACCGCCCATGCAATATCTAAAAGAATTTCTATATATGGTTGATGAAGAAAAAAAAAATTAAATTCGCATGTGAGGGCACGCATTGAAGAAGTAAATGAAAGTGAGTTCTCCCTAAAAATATAAATAAAAAAGATAAATAATAAGCTTGTTGCGGTGGTGAGTTAAGTTCAAATTTCTATTTTTTTCTGTTCAAAAAAGATAAATAAAGTAATTTTTTATTTTTTTATTTTGCAAAAGGTTTTTTAATATTAGAATTTGTACTCAAACCCTTAGAATGAAAAAGATGTTGGTACAGAATTATTTCCTTTAATGAATCTTACACGGGGCCAACTGAAATTAGTCGGAACTTTAAAGTGCTGGACGAGTTATGTAACCACCGATAAATAAATAAATAAATAAATAAATAAATAAAAGTGACTAATTGTATATAGATAGTGACGGGAAAATGGAAAATTGAGTAATTTGACATTATGATCTTATCTTCCTTTTGGAGTTTTAATAAATTACTAGGCAATGATAAATGTTGTCACTTGTCAACCTGTCATATAGTCGTAGTTAATTGACTAGTCATTCTCTTTTTTGTCCCAATGGAAGAGACTGAATGACGCCGAAAATATATGTTAAACAAACTCCAGACCCCATAATTTTATTGATTTTATTTATTTATTTATTTATTTATCAAAAAACATGTATATGAATGAATGAATTAAGTTAATGAAAAGAAGTGGTCCTTTCTTAGTATAACTCAAAAAGGTTTAAGAGAAAGATATTCCTATATCGCCGAAACAGTCATCATACAACTTCTAAAATCAAACTCTAAAACAAAGGCAATTTAAGGTTTAAGTTCAATCTTTAATGTTTTAGCATCAAATATATTATATTTTAAAATAATAGGTTTAAATTTCATTTTTATTAATATTTTAGTGGTTTTCTTACGTATATATTTATGCTTTATATCCAAAATATTGCATTCGGATAAACCAACCGGCAAAAGATTAGCCATATATACATCTCACAAAAATAACAAATTTTTAATTAGACTAACAAACTCGAAATGACTGAAGTTCCCTCCCAAAGTATCCTCCATTAGGGAAACAGTTATTAGCATCATTCAAATGTAAGTTCATTTAATTTGTGGGCACGTCGATTAATTTTACGGGTACCTATTACCTCTTATATACTGAAAAATTCTGTTCACTAAAATTTAAAATATGAAGAAGAAGAAGAAATCACCTAGTATCTTTATTACCGTTGAAAATTTAAATGTGACTTTGCATACTCCCTCTTAAGAAATAATAAATAAAGTCTATAATTTGCTATGATACCCATATTAATTTATGTATATTTTTAATGAATTTAAAAAAATAATTTTAAATGAATATTTAATACCATGAATATAACAAGGAAAAAATTATTTTTTCTTGATATACAAAAAGTGACAAGTAAAAGTAAAAATCTATTTTTATAATACTGGACAAGTAGAAGTAAATGAACGGAGTAATAATCACAGGTGAAGTTAGTGGTCAGAGAAACCGAGTAAAGGTACTTTAGTTTCTTTTGACTTTTGGGTTTGACACCTTCACTATTTCACTGCTTTCAACTTTGAGGACGTACTAGAATATTTTCTACGAAATTGACATCGTTCTTGATAGAATTTCTTGGTGTTTTATTGCTAAAACAGCACACAATACATTTTTTTATTCTAGGACAATGTCCAATTTATGTTTTGAATTCTTAAGTTGAGAAGGAAAAGGGTAAACCTTTGAAAAGAGCGATCTTTCCGTATATAAAAATTATACAAAAGAGAGCACAAAAATTAAACAGAATACTCAAATTATTTCAAAAGAAATTTTCACTATATTTGAAACGATACAAATTACAGTGCCGATTTTTCATATTCAACACCTTAAGTTTACGGGAGAAATTTAAAAATAGTCAGATTTACAAGTAGTCGTTTAAAAATAGCTACACTTTCAAAAGTAATCAAAATTTAGTCACTTTTTATGTAAAAATAAATCTGAACGAAAACATTGCTCAAAATTCGAAAAATACTTCAGTATATTATACTGGAGTTCTAGTATACTTATGCTTGAACTCCAGTATAATATGCTAGAGTTCCAGTATACTTATGCTGGAACTCCAACATAATATACTGAAGTTCCAGCAAAGTATATCGGTCCAGTATAATAAGCTGGAAGTTCATACACATGTGCTCGATTCTCCAGTATATTATGCTGGAACTTTCCGCGTGTTGGAGTTCCAGCATAATATGCTGGAAGTTCATATACAGATGCACCAAACTCCAGTATATTATGCTGGAACTTTCCGCGTGTTGGAGTTCCAGCATAATATGCTGGAAGTTCATATACAGATGCACCAAACTCCAGTATATTATGCTGGATTGGTCTCTGTTGCAGCAAACTAGTGGCTATTTTTCAATGATTTGGCAAACGCTGACTATTTTTGAATGACCAGTCCGAAAATTGGCTAGCCCGTGCTATTTTTACTAAATTTACTTGTGAAATTTAAAACTCCAAATCAGTGCCGATTTTTCTATTCCAGAGATTGAACAGTGGCTATTTATGAATTTGTAGTCCAACTCATTAATTTCTAGGCCGGTTGGACGAGTTGGATGAGTTTGGGCTCAAATTGTCACTCCTAATTTTACCCATAATAACCATATGTGTGTGAAGCGTGTGTTATGTATGAGAGGAAAAATGACACTGTATAGCCGCTTTCAAAATAATAGTCAATATATATATATATATATATTTGTATGTTATATAAAAAAAAATTATACAAATTTTATATATTTTTCGGCTACCAAAATTAAATAGTTTCTATCGCGGGCTAAAAATGACAACACTCGAAGAAAAATCTAGAAAAGGGCCAGAAAATTTAAAATATTATTATCACTTTAACACATGTATCAATATTAGCATTCAGAAGAGAGATTTCATAGTACACTTATTATATATTATTATTGGAATATCACCTCCTTTTC